CTGCTGTGGGAAGGTTTTGTTTTGTTTTGTTTTGTTTTGAGGGAGAGCGAGAGCACGCTTGTGCTTGCATGTGCACGAGTGCTTGCACGAGCAGGGGGCAGGGGAGAGAGAGGGAGAGAGAGACAGAGACAGAGACAGAGACAGAGAGACAGCCTCCACGCTCAGCACAGAGCTCGACCCAGGGCTCGATCTCAAGAACCAGGGATCTTGACCTGAGCCAGAATCAGGAGTCCCACGATCAACCGATTGAACCACCCAGGCGCCCTGGAAAGGTCCTTAAAGGGCAACCAGCCCACCGACAATCGACAATCGGTGCAATGTGTGTGATAGGGAACTGGATAGTGGGGCTTCTTCCTATCTGGACCATCTCACTAAACCTTGGGTTTGTACTACAAGTCAAGCAGGTTTCTGCCTCCCATCTCCCCTCTTCCTGTAGCCTCATTCTCCTCGCAAGTATCCTGGCTTCTGCCTTGTGCAACACCAAATTCATCAGTATCCCAACCCTTCATCTTGGTGGCAAACACCTCGCCTGGAATCTTAATTTGGTTCCAACTCAAATAAGATTAATACCTCCGTGCAAGGAATTAGGTACTTTTTTTTTTTTTACCGTTAATTATTTATTGTTATAATCTTACAACTCTTGAAATTTAATTAAGAAATGACTTAAAAATAAAAAAGACTTTCAGGTTGCAAACTGACCTCCGCTGCTAATTAGATTCCACAAATCGTCCTGAAAGGTATAAATCATTAAACATAATTAGATTATTACCGGAAGTACTGCTATGACAAATGCATTACCCAAGCTCTCTGACACAGAAGAGAGGGGGTGCAGAGGGGAAGTGTCTTCTGCGGTACTGCTCGGGCTGGGGTTCCCTCCTGCCCCACAGCTGGACCTCGGCCGGGGCCCTCCTACCCCACCCCTTCCCAGGAGTCACGTGGCCGGTGAGCTCATGCCTGTGCGAGCCCTTGTCATCCGCCAGGCGCCGCTGAGCGCCAACGATGACTGTTGTTTTCTCCCTTATCGTACTCCAGGGAAAGCCTGCAGCCCCGCACCCCTCCAGACGGCTCCGCAGGACAGCCCGGGAAACCGCCCCTCCTGTGGGCGGAGGTCCCCGATCCCCGAGGACCCCTCCCCTCAGCAATGGCTTTCCCAGGTCTTCCGGCGGCAGGGCCTTCCCCCAGAAGGAAGTCTCCTCGGTCGCAGGGAAAGTTCTCGAGCTGCAGGAGTCCCCGGCGGCCTGGGCCTGTCCCCGCGTCCCCCCCCC